AAATCAACTCTTTATCGGAAAATCGAAAACTAATATAACTGGTATGAAACTTCAAAGAACGGGGGAGTGTGATTGACCATCACAAAGGGAAGGTTCGGTAAGTGACTTACTTGGCTCACTGTATCAAGTCCATTATTTCAAAAAGAAAGGTCCTTCAAGTTAATAAATAAATATATATAAAAGTGAAATAGAACTTTTTTTTTAAACTTTGTTAATGAAACGCGTGCCTGATAGTCAGAAGACCTGACTAGAATAATTAATTTGACGTTTCTAATTATTGTACGTCCATAGTCGGGCATGCTTTGGACAACATTTCTCGGTGTTGCATTGTGTGATTGTTTAACGGTCGTCGTTCCCATACCCATTTATTTTCACTAGGCTACTTTAGTAAGTGATAAAACAACCACCTTTTCCTCTTTTCGCGAAATACCACCATCGCCAATCTAGATACACAGTGTCGAATTGTTTAAGGTTTCCAGAAAAATAAGATTTATGATACGCAACAAAGACTTAAAACTCGGGATAAAATAATGTGTATTTATAGATCCCCAGATACTTATTACTACGACGTCAATGTATCTGATACGAGTGGATACGTTTTAAATTCCCTGGCTTCTAATAGCGAGTTTTATTTCATCTTAATATTATTATAAGCCGTTGGGCGTGATTATACCTAAACACATTAGATAAGATTCTCCCACTTCAATGTGATCGATAAAATGGGATAAAATTTTCTGCAAATTTTTTCAGAAAAAAATATTTGTTTGCGGTATACAAGTCTCAAATAATGCATATTAAAATATTTGTTGGTCTTTCATTTCAATCCTGACATCCCTCGGTGTGTGATACGACAAGAAAAACCTTAAAATATAATGCATTATCTCTAACATGCGTATCCATGGCGTTTAAACACTAAATCCCTGGGATGTGTTTTAATTGATTTTAGTCTCTGATGCATTATTTTTTAACTGTTAACTAGCTTTCAGTAACTGCGAGTACTCTCAAATCGTACTTTCGTGTAAATTTGACCTGTTGGCACTATTTGTAATGTACTTCTGTCATCCATTGTTAAATATTTTGTATCTCGTCTCACTATTTTCAATATGTACCACCTTTGTTAAGTATTTAGTATGACGATAGATTTTCACCTCTTTACTCGTACTCTGAACAACAAATTTATTGATTTTGTAAAAAATGTTTTCTTCCGTACTCCTAACAACATAATTATTATATTTAAAATATTTAAATTAACCTGTGTACGTTGTTTTATTTAACGCCATTTTGTCCAGGTTAGAGGTGGGTTTTTTTTTACACTGTTCCTATTTCTTTTTTTATCACTACCTGTATTAAATATTGTATTTAAATTGTGTAATAGATCAAACTTATTCGTACAGTGTATTTCACTTGTTTTTGTTTATATGTCTTTTTGATAGAGTTAAGCCATTTCAATTGCTATTTTATAGTGCGTCTTTTTATGTTGTAATGTTAAACTACTGTCTCAGGTTAGGGTGAAGGTTGGCGCCTGTTAAAATGTTTAAACCCGCTGCATTTTATGCACCTGCCAGTAGCTTGCTTTTCTGTGTGAGCCAAGGCTCCGTGTTGAAGGCCGTACTTTGACCTATAATTGTTAACGTTTTATACATTGTGACTTGGATGGAGAGTTGTCTCATTGGCACTCATACCACATCTTCTTATTCATGTAACTTTATTATTATAGGAGCAATAAACGAATAACATTTTTGAAGTTGATTATAATATTCATTTGATACATTTATTGCTCTCCTATCGATAAAAACTTTTTCATTTCAAATTTTTATTTAATTTTGTTTGTCGTTCCCACCTTGAAGGCACCCAAGAATTTTAACAAAACAAGGTTCTGGCGAAAAATTCGATTTATAATGATATCAATATCGCATTCATAAGTAGACAATCTGATGCACCCGTCCGAATCCGTATCTGTAGATCATGAACTTTTTAAGGTAATTAATCGACAGCAGATACAGAGCTTTAAGTGATTGAAGATATGACACGTCTTGGAACTTTATACGGGTGACTGTTGTAGTCTCACATTTATCCCACATCACCGGCTTAACTCGTATCTTTTTGGAACATTTTTTCTTTTCTTGATCACAACTTGATCAAAGTAGTTATATGTAACAATTCAATTCCAGATAGATAAACGTACTTTATTAGAAGAACATGAACGTGTGAGAGTGATGATTTGAGTGTTAATGAGGGCGTAGTCCAAACATTTGCGGCATGTTGTGAACAAAAATGTAAAAGTGAATTAGGCAAATAAAACACATTTTTCGTATTGTAAGAGGAGTAGAGGACCCAACTGATTTCAGCTCATGAAGGACAATAATGCACATATTGACAGACATTAGAAGGAAAAATCATACGAAGGATTTCATGTGGTGAGGTAGAAGTCACCCCCGCGAACATTTTATGGGCACCATCATGAGTTGGTTGATCGTTATGAAATATCTGTCTCGCAGATGACGACGGATATGGTCCAATTGACTCACCACAGTCCCGTCCTCATTTCCTCGAATTAGTTTTTGCACAAGCAACATGTGAAGCAGGATCTTAGCTATCCCGAGCACCTGATATCATTTCCGGGTTTTATTGTTGTGGGGTTTGTACTGCTCAGTCTTTAATTTTCGATCTTGTTCTTTGTATACTGTAACAGTTGTTTATCGTTGTTGGGTATACCCCCATGAGCAATTTAATTATGACATGTTTATTTAACGTAGTCAAATGACAACACGTAACCTAATTTTATGGCTTACTGTATATAGAATTTGAATAAAAAATGATAAGATTTATATGAAGTTACTAACATTGTTTTACGATGTCAGAACGGGGATTCTTTTCAGCAAAATCCCAAAACCCCTGGATCCCTCACTGCAGTCAAAAGACTAAGTGTATCCGTGTACTTTCGCGTATTGAAGTGCCGATGAGGAACATATACAATTTAAATTTTGCAACTATGTTTTAAAGTTCTGCGTTCAAAATTCGCTTGTTTCGAGGATTATCGTAGAAGTATCAACAATTTATGTTTTCATTCTAAGAGAGGTAACTGCTTTTTAATTAAATGTGATTTTTGGGGATGTTGCTTTAATTTGGAGTACATTTGCAAAGCTATGCATATCTTCACTAATTCGAAGTGCGGGAATCGAACTTACAACCTCAGTGTTCACAGGCTAGTGATTGATGTAGATGAACTCCATAGGCCCCTCTCAAGTAAAGATATATCATATCTAAAAGGAATTACAGCTATCTGTAAAACTTATTAAGGGAGTTACCATTTGATTTTTAGGAGGGGGGGGGGGGGCTAGGATGAAAAATGTTGTCCTGCATTTTTTTTTAATTGTAATCTCTGTCCTGCTTTTTTATTTTTCACTCTATTCAGTCCTGACTTTTTTTTATTAGTTTATCCTGACTTTTGTACATGAATTGTCATCCTGACTTTTTTTTTGCCAAGTTGCTCATCCTGCCTTAAATAGTCACCAAATTCATATTACGATTTCCGAGCTTGGATTTTTTTTTTGTCAAACCAACTTAACCCTTGATCCGCCAGTACTTTCTATGTAGCCTTGGTGTATTCTTGCATTTTCGTGTTTTAAAGGTCAATGGAGGGACACACTATAGCTAGTCATGCTGTAAATGAAAATATAAAATGTTGGAGAAACGTGAACGCACATTTCCTACTCAGTCGCATCGACCTTGTTTTGTTGTCATTGTTACTGTATTTCCTTTATGGAAGACACATTACTTATACTGCACTTTTTAAAATGATGAAAAGTCAGGTAATTGATATGAGAAGAATAAAAAGGAAGTGAAACAGAACATTTTATTAAACAATTTCATGGTATTTACTACATGTACCTTTATTTGAGACAGACATGTGTCATTTGAAGCTAAAACCTGGACTGTACAGAATGTCGACTATACAACGGATATAAGACCTGGTACTTGTAAGGACGTCATAAACATAACAATATATTGATGAACACTTATAGACATTTGTTCAAAGCGGCATCATATGATAATCATTTCCTGGCCGCTTACGTAAATCGAATGTATTAAATAAAGTTACAGTTAATTAAAACAACGAACGCCAGATTTTGGTCAACAAAATTGAATAAGTTGTGACTCAAAAAATATAAGACGAAAAGAACGGTCAATTTAAGAAAGGCATGATATAAATCATAAGTACCGAAGCACCCACTTTTGAGCTGATGATACCCTATGAAACTAAAAGACAACCAGCAACAGCGTTATCGATCGAACCGGTGCCATAAAAAACTTAAAATATCACTTTATTAATTGTACGTGTACGAAGCGCTTTTCTCGATTTCTTTTCAACAGTAAAGCTCAAAGCCAAACATTTGAAAGCCAAGGATGTACAAGTACCGAATCACATGAAGAGCTATATATGTAAAAGATAGCAAATTCACAACTTTCTCTCATTTTTTTCCCGTAGACATATAAGTCATTATAACTTTAAAATGCCTGTCGTGTGTAGTTTTTTACATGTAAACATTGCTTTAAATGGAGTTCTTACATTCCCAAAAGTTAACTGGTTAGGCAAACATGTGACTAAAACCTAGGTTAAGAAAACGTAAACGATACAATATCAAAATCATACAAGTAAGAGTTAAATCGAACAAATAAGTAACCCGAATAATTCAGTAGTCTATGATGGCTACATTCATTCGAAAGTAGAAGAGATGAACACGGGAAGGGTCTGAAATATTCGGATTAACAAATAGGTAAAACTCCTCGCATGGTTTACAATTATGATGACTGTCAAATCAAACCAAACGGACTCTGTACGATGCTTCAATACAGTTGTCTGATGGTATTGCAGTCTTAGCTAAAGTGCAGTTTTTTTTATTTTAAAACGGAAAATTAACCAAACAAATAAATCTTTTAATCTTGTTAGTAAGATCACTAAAGGTTATATATAAAAAAAACATTTTGTGTATTTTATTAGTATGTTAGCGAGTCACTATCCCTGGTATATTATAGTTAAACCACTTTTGAATACGTTACGATTTATTGTTTATGGTTAAAAAATTTAAAATAGTATCACTAGGGCATTGAAAACAAATGTTTTGTTTCTCTTGAACTTTTTTTATTTAATCCGGATAAGCATATTTTGTTTATTTAACTAATTATGAAGAATAACGTTCAATCATCTCTCTTGATTGCTTAAAACAATATCCAAAATTAAACATAGTTTTAACAGAAAGGTTGAAAGTGTCAGGGAAACAAAAGATTTGCTTTCCACTGCCTAAGCGAATCCACAGTGAATATGATTTCCTTCGTTTAATGGTTCAACTCCACCGTATTCTCTGCACTTTGACAGAAAGAGGGTGTTCCTGCCGTTGTCGAGGTCTACAGCCTTGCCATTGTAATGCCGACTGTGACAGCTATGACAAGCACCTGATATTTCATTAACCTGCAACAAAATAGAATTGAACATATTGTCATACATATTTGGCTTTTCAAACACTAATTTCTGTGTGTTTCTGGTATATATTTTGAAATTAGCCTTTTTATTTAACGCGATATGGTCATTGTATGAAATACAGCGTTGATGTAACATGGATAAACTGGTTTCTCTAATTCTTCGTCAATTTATCCCTTTCTGCACCCATTGTATAAAAAAAATTAATCAACGTGTGGTTCGTTTGATCTCAGTTCTTCATTGGTTAAAATCCGATTATGACGTCGAATTTTCTTATTTTCCTCTGAATTTCCTATTGTGACGGCATGAAAAAAGGCGACCATGCCTGATGACGTCACAAAGAAAGAACACATCTTTTTGCAGATCATTCGAAAAGAAGGAATAAATTTGCTTGCGTGTTGTTTGAAAGTCATTAGAGAAACAGATTCCACCACCAAATCTCGTGTAATACGATATTTATCCACTCTCGACAGTTAAATTTTAAATATTTAAAACGCTCGGCGAGCCTCGCGTTTTAAATTTGGAAAATTTAACTGTCTAGTGGATAAATATCGTATCACACTCGATGCAGTGGTAGAATCTATATATATCTGTTCAACAGCTCGTAGTGCACGAGTTCTATTATAAAAGTCACTCAAAGATCCATAAATGATTGCAACTTGAAATTATAAAATTGTTGAGACTGCCACGGAGGAAATATTTCGCCTTCTGTCTGCAAATAATATTATTAAGCAGAAATGGTAAAGTCCATGTTCTGGTTCTGTAAGGGAAATCTGAACCGGCTTTGATACAATATATCTCAAATTTACTTGTTTTAAGTAAAATTTTGAATTGAAATACATTTATATCCTTAATTAGTGTTATCTTACAGAAAAAAAATTAGGTTCGCTGTCGACAGATTGTTTTGTTTACATTAGGAATACCCTTCCGATAATTCGCAATAATCACCAGAAATTTGTAAAAATTTACCAAAATTTTTACAGCTATATATAATTATTTAAAGTTTGGTGACAAGTACAGACATAATTACGTACATATTGTGGTATTTTGTTTATGGTCCCAATATGAAATAGATAAAGGCGAAAGTTGCCATTTTTCTTTCAATGACAAAAAGATCTGTCTGTTTCTTTGTTATTTTTTCTCAAAACAATCAAAACAGACAAGCGATTTTTGTTTTCCCCAACTTACATGTATGTAGCCTGATGATCCTATGTCATGGATGTATTGCAGCAGTTTACGGTCAAGGCACACATGACCTCCGGGAGCACCTGGGCTTCTACATTCACTACACGTGTAACTGTAAATAAATGAAGTTTAGATGGACGAAGAAATAGTATTATGTACCTCAGTATATATTTACTTTATAAAATTATAGACAAAATGAAATTGTCTCAAAAAGACTATTTACCGATTCATAGTTTCAAAAACTATTTACTGTATATGAATTATTACTGGAAGCAAACATTTTCCCGTAAAAAGACTATTAACCGGTTAATAGTTTCAAAAACTACTAACGAAATACCGAAATCTATTGTTATGAAGTTAAGCTGCTGCTGATATACGTATCTGTATTCGGAAATAAATTATATACCAGCATTATTTTTGTACTGGAAGCAAACATTTCTCGTAAAAGACTATTAACCGGTTAATAGTATACACTTATATACTGGCTATGAGGACATTAGGAAGTTTATTGTCCCCCGAGGCACCAACTATTTAACGCGCGACGCGGAGGGAAATAGTTGCTGTCGAGGGGGACAATAAACTTGCTAATGTCCGAATACCAAGCAAATAAGTGTTTTATTATACAGAAAGAAAAAAGGATATATTTCGAGACAATATATAACTATTTTCTTTGTACTGTTACTCTCACAACTGTTCCAAATGAAATATGTTGGTTAACACATCAGTTTTTTTAATTTGAAGCGGACAACGTAAAAATTCCGCTAAGCTATATTACGTATTGACGTCATAATAATTTGAATGCGCAAATAACAGCTATAAACAATCATTCAGAAGTTTCGGGAGACGAGTTAATTCAAACGATACAGAAAGTACAGGAAAACTTCCCGTAAAAAGACTATTAACCGGTTAATAGTTTTTTGAAACTATTAACTGGTTAATAGTCTTTTTCTGACAATTTCGTAAAAATTGTAAATTCATTCGTATATTATTTTATATAGAAAATACATACTGAGGTATAATAATTTCAAAAATGTTTTTTACGGGAAAACTGCCAGCCAGAATTTGTCTGTACCTCTGTATCGTTTGAATTGACTTCCCCCTCCCCAAGACTTTCGAATGGATTGTTCAAACTGCAACTGTGCTACATGTATTTACGCAGTCATATTCATTTGTGATATACAGTAACTGACCGTATAACGCCTTGTTTATAACGTTAAAATATGCGTTTTCGTGGAGTTTTATTAATGACGCCAATAAAGAATGTGAGGGATATGACACCATCCCGAGTTGGTTGACCTTTATAAATATCTGCATCACAGATGACCGCCGAAGAACTTCAATTTTCGTAATCATAAATTGTCCTCTTACCCTCGATTGTGATATCATCGATAAGACTTATTATATTTACCGAATGTGTTGTTATTATGAGTAACACGACGAGTGCCACTAGTGGAGCAGTATCTTGTAACCCTTCCGGGGTAACCTGAGATCACTCCTGTGTTATGATAGATTCGGTTCGTGTTGCATAGTCTTGGGTTTTCTGTATAATGTTTGTCTTTTCGTCCTTTTTCGATTGTGGGGTTGTCAAGGTATCTAAGAGTTATGAATGTTCCCTCGGTAACTTCTGTCTCTTTTTTAACACGTGATCAATAGTTTTTTTTAATGGCAAAAAGGTTTAAAGAATCTGTAGGATAGCGTCATAAAATTAAGGTGCACTCGTTTTCCTAACTTACTGTGATCGGGATGCAGCACGTCCATGACATGCGTCGTTGATATTGTTGTAGGCATACGCATTGTCATGTACTCCTGAAGGATGTTTGTTCCAAAGATGGATCTTACCAGCATTGTGAAGAGCCAATATTTTACAAGCATAATCCTTTGCTACTGCATCGCTGCACGTTGTTCCAGTTGAATGTGTGCCTTTAAATTATTTACAAACATGATGCTTATTCAAAAAATGTTTATTACAGTTACATGTGAATTGCATTGTTTCCGGAAGTTTTAATATTAATTCCACCTAGACGCTATCTACAAAATGTAGATGTAAGCATATAATTATACAGGAGAGATTATGATATTTTACCTTCTTTATTTGATTTTATTTATTCATTGTTGTTATTTTCTTATTGTCACATCGACTAATATTGTGAGCTTTTAAAACAACTGTAAGAGAGTTACCATTTGATTTTAAGGGGGGGGGGGGAGGGGGGGCTAGGATGAAAAATTCTGTCCTGCATTTTTTTTTTAGTTGTAATCTCTGTCCTGCATTTTTATTTTTCACTCTATTCGATCCTGCATTTTTTTTTATTAGTTTATCCTGACTTTTTTTACATAAATTGTCATCCTGCCTTTTTTTTTTTTTTTTGGCAAAGTTGCTCATCCTGCCTTTTTTTTACTCAAAACTCCTGTCCTGCCTTTTTTTCAAATTTCATACTAGCCCCCCATAAAAATCAAATGGTAGCTCCCTAAGTTACCAACAGATTGTCATAACCCAAACATCGGTAAATGTCAACATACATACAATATTTCACTTTGTTTTAGTTAATTTGACTTGAATTATAAGTCATGTGTATCAAATACATGCGAGGAAAATGTATCTGATTTCATATGTTCAAACAGTCGTAACTAAGCCTCATGTCTAGACTTGCGGTTTAGTCCTAAACGTATTTTTTAGTGATGCAGCTAGACATGTAAACAGCGGCACTATATATTATCAGTGACCGCTGTGGATAGTAAACTTGGAATTGATAGTAAACAGAATATACAAGTTATTTGTAGTATATTCATATTCGTATAATACAGAAAAACGCGAAAATAATTGAAATTATTAGAAGACAAAAAGATAACGGATTTTGGAAAAAAGGGGAAGGGCCAAAAACAAAATTGTCCTGTCCCCAAGTACCTATGTTGTTGAAGACTGTTAATGTATGTGAACCCTAAACAATTTATGTTTCTTATTTGTGTGGGTGAATTACTATGTTATTGACGAAGAAAATGCATCTCTTTTAATTCATAAACATGTTTAATTGTTTTATACATACTTGTACAGTGACCTGATGTTGCTGTGTTGAGGTAGTTTCCAGCAACCCATAAATTCTGAAAATTAAAAAAAAATATCATTATAGGGAACTTAGTGCCGCTGTTTACATTTCGATCTGCATCACTGCAGAGGGGGATTTAGGAGGCAGCCCCTCCCCCCTTTTATGGAGTTTCATATATGATAAATGCTTGATTTTGGTTTATTATGATCACTCTAGATGTTGGCTTGCCAGGACTCCCCCTTTTTAAATCCTGGATCCGCACCTCTTCTGTAACCAATTGTAAAAAAAAATAGCCTTCGTTGGTCATCCACATGCCTACGTTGTAACCCCTTAGCAAATTTATATGAAACCATTTTGCGGATATTTCTTATTATGGATTCAATATCATTTCAGAATTATATATTTTTTTACATAGCGTCTCGGTCAATTAAGCGTCTGTTTCGGTTTGCTATCGGTTGTACCTCTATTTGCCATAACGTTTCTTCAATAAGCACAACAAAATGGACTACAAGAATAGAAACGCTTTGTTTCAGAGATATCATTAAAAAGTTATAAAAGACAAATGTGCATTATGGAAGTATTGACGATTTTGACTACAGACTTGCCCAAACATAGAAATTTGACGAGTGAAGAAGTTACTTAAGTTTGATATAATCAATTGATAATTTGGTTTTTATGGGAAATATTAAAAACAAATATGACAAAATGTTACAAATAGGGGAACATATAAACCATTATAATTAAAACAAAAATTCAATTACTTTTTAAAAGGTCATGATATAGTTATAATAGAAAATTGAACATTCCCAAAAGATTATTGTCTTATTCTAATCCATGTTATCTCACTGTGAGACGGCAGAAATGTTTACCTTTTGAAATTGGTTCTCTTCAATAGCCCTTAAAATGTAAATTACTTTTTTCGATTGGAAATGAATAGTAAATTTAACAGGTAACTAACCTCGCCATGTACATTCTGGAGCTGAAAAAATGTATACCCGTTTGTAGTATGAATTCCACCGTGGAATTTGTAACAGTCACCAGTATTAAGAGTGGCATGCACAGCTGTATGAGTTCCAGCTGAAAGGTGCAAATGTAAATTAAATGAAAAGTACTTGAAAAGAGGGATTTACTCCTGTCTAGGCTACATGACTGAATAGCAAAATATAGGACAGACTATAACAAAAACTTGTCCCATATTAAGTGTTGCTTAAATATTTCTTTAAGAAAGTGATATTTATGAAATTATCAGTACACAAATAAAGTGGTCGTGCTGTGTGATGTTGCCTCCATTTATTTTATTCAGAGAAATCAAATATGCGGGCAATATTAAATATAAAAACAAAATAACCGCTTTAGGATTCTTGGAGTTATTTTGTTTTTTTTTTGTCATGTTTAGTAAAAAAAAATCTAATTTCATTGTACAATTATAGTGATTATTTATGAAATACACATAAGAAACATGAATATAGAATTGAGAATAGAAACGGGGAATGTGTCAAAGAGACAAAAAAAAACTGACCAGAGAGCAGAAAACAGCCCTAGGCCACCAATGGGTATTCAACGCAGCGAGAAAAATCCCGCAGAAAGTTCCCTATAACTATGTATGCAATAGCTAAGAAGCGGTGTTAAACTATACATTATCCTATATCAATGTCTTGGATCTTTCTAAATGAACATAAAAGATTAGAGTTGTCTTTCTTTTCCTACATGAATCAAGTAATATACTCGTAAGTCAAGCGGTTGAAATTGTATTCTTTCTATAGGCATCAAATAAAAAATATTCGGGAAATTTAAACAATCGTTGAACTTTCCTTAACACACCGTATTAGTATTTGACTTTTCCTCTTATGATTTTTGTAGTCAATATTCTGTCAGAATCGGGTTTACGTATTCTTACTTGTCCTGACAGTTTTTGTAAGACCGACTAAGGTCTTTTTTTTATTTTATTTTATTTTATTTTAGAATAACATATTAGCACAATATTTAAACATTACAGCTGACCTAACTGAATGTTCCTTCCTTCAAGTTGCCTACATTTAATGGAAACGTGCTAGGTGCAGCTGATAACTTTTATAACATATTTTCATTTCCCCCGAAAGAGTATAATATTTAATTAAATTCTTCTGATTTATCTGACTTTAAACTTTAGCACTAGAAAAAAAACAAAAAAAGACCAAACTAAAAATGATTCGAAGTTGTCCGATGTTTTACTTCCGCTAAAAATAGAAAAGTTAACAATTACAGTTTGGAACATTTATACAAAAAAGGGATAAGGCATTGAAAATCGTGTTGGTCCTAGAATATTATTGATTGAGTGTTGGTTGCTTAACGCCCTGAGGCAAATATTTTATGCATGTTCAGAACGATAACAAATTAACAATACAATAGGTAGGTCTTGTGATAGAGGTCGTCCGGGATGAAGAATGGGAGAAATTTGGACTGCCACTGGAAAATGAGGATATTTTGGATAGGGGCAGGCATTTTGCCTTGCAACAGGTCACCTACGGACTCCCCAAAGAGTTGTTGCAAGGGTTCTTAACATGCAGAGAGCGTGGCACTCTCTTTACACGAGGCATCAGAATTAACGTACCCATTCTGACTAGACGTGGATGCGTACTTGTACATCCCACACAGCCAAAAGGATGCCCCATGATACGGCACCATTATTTCACAAAAAGTAATGGAGAAAATTATGTTTGTAGTTTCGTATGCCGATAGCTAGCACATTCGAAAAACAACAAAATATTTTAGGCGAAGGTGTAAGATACCAAAGCCAATATTTTAGTCGCTCATACTTTTTTCTGGTCAAAGGTCTATAAAAAAATACTTAGGAAAATCCGAGCATTTTAATAATATGGAATTCTCATCTTGGGATGGAATGCTTATTTTATTTTTTAACCTCCATTTAATATGCTAAATGTCATTTCGTGTATTTTGATTTTGAGATTAGCATCATACTTTGGCCCAAAAGCAGGGTCTTCGTGTCATCGTCCTTAATTGGATAACCTTGGATTGCTTATAGAACAATATATGCGCGCAATTTTAAAACTTGTCCATACACAAACATTTTAAACAAAATAAAATCTTTAAAAATTACATCTAGCTTAAATACATGAATCAACATAAAAATAAACATTGGATTAAGACTAACCTGACGTATGAGCATTGACATGGGTACCAGATACACACAAGCATGTACCCGAGGTGGGTTTAGTTCCCGTTATATTAGCAGCCACAAGGCCGACAAAAAAAAATACAAAAGCGAACGTCAACATTGTTCCAAATTTTCGTCCAAGGCTTTCTTCTTTAATATGTCCAATACAAGCTTTTAAAAGTCACGGAACTGCTTATCTGCCAAGATAAACCGAATAATATCATGTATGTACAATCATGACTGTATATACTTCTATATTTAGAAAATCTGTGAATGAAAAGACATAATGTGGTTTTATATGATTGAGATAAGATACACAATTCCTTTAGACTTGAACGAGTAAGGTCAAATGTCGGTCTTCCTTGTTTCAGCTAGACTATTTCTTCCCAATGAAAAATACATAAAATACAGGAAATCAATTGAAAAATTGTATGCATTTTTATACAGGAAGATAAACAGTGGAAATTTTGTCGTCCTTTTGTACAATGCGTTCCTCAAATGAACTTTAACAAAGCACTTTTCGGAGGGTCTGGATAGGGGGTCCCCCAATTCTGTATTCTTTAATTATTTTTTTTTTTAAATTTCTCTATATTTTTTATAAGTTTAGCCCATTATTCTCTATTCTTTAAATTTTAGCTCCTCATTATTCTCTATTCTTTAATTTGTTTGGCCTACTTCTCTCTATTTTTCATTTTTATTGGCTCATTTTTCTGTAGTGTTTGTCCATTATTCTCTATTCTGAAAATCCCATTCAGACCCTCATTAAGCATACATAGTTGTTACAAAAACCTATCATGTTATCAAGACCAGAGATATATAATAGTAATAAGGCATTTTATGAAAGGGTCAACTGGTGGAACCTGGCTACTTAAAAAAGTCAAGATTTGCTCATTTTTTAATAATTTATGCGACGATTGACGAGTACGAAATGATTTTTTCTTATACAATTTTATTTTATTTAATATCATGAGTCATTTATCACTGTTTTTTTTTTGTTTTGAATATGCATGGAATATTTACCATTTCGTGTTAAGCAAACAAGAAACAAACAAGATTAAACATTGTGCAGATTTGTTTTGTTAATTAAAACGGTATATAGAACGAAGAAGTTTAATTCTATTGAATGGGCCCAAGAGAAGCATAGTAAACTATATTTTCTTATATATGTGTTGTGAAAAACAATATTGCTATGTGCTAGTGGCTTGAAAGTAGATGACGAGTTTTATGTGTGTTCCCTTTAACTGTTTAAAAGGTACAAAATAGTAATTGATTTTGAATTTAATATGCAATTGTAAATTAAATAATATGCCTGTAGCCTGTACATGTAGTTTAGTCTGTTAAGTATCGAATCAGTAAGACTGAATATCCTACATGTATAACAAAAATATAAGGAGATGTGGTATGATTGCCTATGAGACAACTATCACCAGAGATCAAACGAAGATATAAGCATTTACAGGCTGTGACGGAATTAAAGTTCCACCATAATAATGTTCCAAAGATCTTTTGTTACATAACAACAGTTCTATTTGGAACTTTTGTATCCATTGCCGTAAGAAAAATGTCATTTCCACTGGATTACATTTAATTTATTATAAAGTGAAAGTTCCTATCGAAACTTGTGTTACATAATAAAATTCTTTGGAACGCATATTATGTTGGAATTTTAGCAACACATATTGATTCTTATAAAACTTGGAGAGAAATATCAAAATTGCAAATAATTTTAAATTAATTGTTAAACTGCAAATATTTATATTTGTGACAATACTCATTTCAAAATAACATTTCAAGATTTACAAAATGTTTAGTTATTACTTTTTTTTACTTATTATAATAGGGAAAGAGTCAATAAGAGTTTTGATATGCATATATTTTTACTGCACATTCAATTTGACAAAATCTATGTAAATCATGTGAACAAACAGAAGAAGATTATTGTGTAGGATAAACTGGTAAATTCTTTATCAAATATAATAGGTACATGTAATAATAATACTTTATTCCAAAAGCAAATACAGCTTATAGGATACATATACATAATGATAATAATTTTATATGCACCAATAATAAGAACTTGTACAAAATATTCTTGAGTTACACAATATATAAATATAAAAGTGTTCGAAATACGAAATATGAGCTGAGAATAATATACTTTGATAAACGCAATATGTGAGAACAAATATCCTATATACAAGCAATTAAATTTTAAGTTTTTCTGCTGATTTGAAAAAAAACATTCCTTAATTATTTAATTATCTAATATTTCTGACAGATAGCAACTGGATAAGTTTGTATGCAGATGGATTCTCCAATAATACTTTTGAATATACTTTTCTCGGATTTGACTACATTTTTGACACTCGAATATAAAGAGGTATTCGTCTTCAATAGATCTAAGGTTACAGAATGTACATATTAATCTATTATTTTCATCAAAATTATAATATCTGTCTCTTTCTATTCTTAAACTATCAGCTGATATACGATATTTACAAGTGTATGGTTTGTATATATAGTTTACAGGTCTATCTAATTAAAATTGCAAAGCATGTGTACTATACATATATCTATAAAAATGACATTTACTTAAATTCTCAATAAGCGCATTAACTTCACTAATGAATGCACCAAGCATTCTTTCTTTCAATTGTAATAGAAAAATATCTGTACAAACTACACATTGGCATAACCAAACATAAATAAATCCATATCTAAACAAAATATCTCGAATCTTACAACACAAGTTTTGTTTATCCTCATGTTTATCATATAAGTTCAATGTCAAAATAATTATTTTCCAAAGGAAGGCCTGTAAAGAAATATTCTGAGTTGTAATAAGTATTATCTATTAGAAGTTCCTAGATTATGCATTATGTAATAGAAGTTAATACTGTTATATAATAATAATGTCACAGAGATTCAATGAATAATTTAATGTAAGGTAATTAAGTTCCTCGAATTATAAAATGTGAAAATAAATCTTAGAATAAATATTACGTAACAGAATTTCCAGGAATAATAGTAATGTAAGAGAATTTCTTGGAATAATCTGTATGTAACGGATATTCGTGACCTAATTATAAATTTTAACCTGCCACTCCGTGTGGAACATTAATTATGCGAAACAAATTTATAATAGTAACACGGCCTTCAATAAACCAACCTTAATTTGTATATAAATCTTTATTCTCAATATACAATATACATAGGTATAGAGAAGACATTTATGTACAATATTTACAATAAGACAGAACAAATTGCTAAGGTTCATTCAGCCTATGCCCACATTTTGAAATTAAGGTATAAAATTGTATGAAAAAATGTTGGCATAGGTTGAATAATTTACAAACGGATAAGATTTGTATAAGCATAAAGTGATTAGATGTAATCAAATTACAATCAGTTTAAATTTTGCATTTTTAAAGGTGTTCTCTAAACTACCAGCAAGTTTGTAATTAGTAAATGTGATTTTTTGGATTGGTGATTTCTATTGAAATAGGTATAGATACATAATAAAAGAAAGAAAGAAACAGGAATTTAATAATTTATTCAAGGTATCATAATCATCAATTTATATAATTATATACTAATTTCACCCACATGCATATTATACAATACTGATGAAAGTTAATAGAATTAATTACCCCAAATCATGAAAATATTAACAAGTTACACAAATCTAAACATAACAGATGTACCCTTTCAATTATGTCATTATTTCCAATACCCCATACCTTGCAACCGTACAGTAATATTGGTTTCACCATTTTATCAAATAAATCCAACTGACTACATGTAGAAAGATTATGTAGACGACCGAGTCTTAACACTTCGTAAAGAGCCTTAGTAGCATTTTCAACATTAAACTGTTTTGTTTTATTAAAATTGCCTGTTTCACAATCAAAATACAGTAGAGAATTAGATGATAGTCTACTTACGGATTTGTAACATTGAACTCGCGTGCAAACGAGAGGAATACAGTACAAATTATACCTGCCGAAGGCCTAGGACAAATTAAATACTGTATTACTCTACATAATTAATTGATTGATTAGAGTGCTAGAGAACAATTAATTAAAACTAATTATCAATTAAAGCATATCCACATGGTATAACTGCAGTAACAATGAGTAAGTGATTTTATACACTGATATCAACATGAAGGATACAATTGACATATTCATATCTTTGCAGTATGGAATTTATTTTTTATTATGTAGATCCTTAATGTTTTTGGCATGTTAATCATATCATTTGTGTTTTTTTTAAATGCACACACCTATACCACAGTGGAGCAACGTAAAAATTGTATTAAAATATTTTTAAGTTTAATCATTTTGATACGAAGGAAAACCACCTGTATTAATTGAATCGTTCGGTCAATCCATCCTTTTTTTGTAATTATTCTGCTCTACTTACTTGTGCTACAGTGCCCCTTTTTGGGAGCCAAATTGAATGACTCCGATTTTGTTTTATACTGATACTATCTGATTTTATTTCTTTTTTTATCTCTGTATACGTTCTTTAATACACCATTGTATAACTGTTGACGGATCTTCTTGATTTTTTATACAAAGTTTCCCATCTTCCAAGGTGGCGATACATTATTTCAACCTAAAACTGTTTCTCTCGGGTCGCATATTTTGGTTCATTGTTTATCTAACCTAGCTAATTTAAGTTAAATCTGTTATCTTTAAGTTAGGAATATGTCATAGAATATTCATTACAATGCAGCATTTATAATTGGTCAAAAGGCACCGGGGTTGGATGCACGGAATGTAAAATACACATAATTGTGGCAAATGTTTTGTTGACAAAAGTAGTTGCAATGCATATGCACTACAATTTTGATGTGGTATTTTATTTTCAGTTGTCTCCTGTATTTAGTAATCATACTCAAAAATGTTCAGTTTCGGGATTTCTATGTCACACATTACAAGCGACCCGTATCATTTGTTTAACACGCGACGGACACAATCACGCGCAGTTGTACAATTTAAGAGCGTATTACGAAGACAGTATGCTTGTCTTTTTATGATTAATTGAAATTTCTTGATTTGACCGAAGTTCTGTGTATTACATGTGTACATTGCTAGTCTAAATGGACAAGTGTAGAGATTCAATGTCATATTTTTCTTGTTTATAATCTGAAATGTGACATAATTTTTTTTAAAAAGTTATTCTACAATGTTTTTATCAATAAATATACATAGAGTCAATGTTATTTATGTCCAGCCTCAAATATGTAGCTGCTTATGTTTTCAAATTTGGGTAATTTTTATTAGGTAGACTTTAAATATTACATTGTGGAACTCAAATATGTGCCTTTTGGTTTCATTTCAAATGCATTACAGCATTTAAAGCTTCGTTTCTTGTTGGACC